CCAGAAGACCCCCTATAGACCCTATAGACACCAGAAGAGCCCCATAGTCCCCATAACCACTGGTAGAACTCCATAGCTCTTGCAGACCCCATAGGCACCAGAAGAGCCCCTATAGACCCCATAGGTGCTGGGAGAACCCCACAGCTCCTACAGATCCTGTAGGCACTGGCAGAGCCCCTATAGACCCCATAGACACCAGAAGAGCCCCTATAGACCCCATAGGAACCAGAAGAGCCCCTGTAGTCCCCATAAGCACTGGGAGAAATCCCGTAGCTCCTACAGCCCCCGTTGGCACTGGCAGAGCCCCTATAGGAACCAGAAGAGTCCCATAGACCCTATAGACTCCATAGACACCAGAAGAGCTCCTATAGACCCTATGGACCCCATAAACACCAGAAGAGCCCTATAGCCCCCCATAGGCACTGGGAGAACTCCATAGCCCCTACAGACCCTGTAGGCACTGGCAGAGCCCCTATAGACCCTATAGGTACCAGAAGAGCCCTACAGCCCCCCTAGGTGCTGACAGAACCCCTATAGACCCCGTAGGCACCAGCAGAACCCCTATAGATCCCGTAGGCCCCAGAAGAGCCCCATAACCCCTGGTAGAACTCCATAGCTCTTGCAGACCCTGTAGGCACCAGAAGAGCCCCTATAGACCCCCTCCAGCCCCCACAGGCACCGGAAGAACCCCTATAGACCCTATAGGTGCTGACGGAGCCCCTATACACCCCATAGAAACCATAGCCCCCACGAGCACCGGGAGAACTCCATAGCCCCTGGAGACCCTGTAGGCACCAGAAGAACCCCTCTAGACCCTCCACCCACCCATAGGCGCTGACGGACCCCCCCGTAGCCCCCCTATAGCCCCCCTATAGCCCCTATAGGCACCGGAAGAGGCCCTGCTGGAAGAGGGAGAGGCGGCGGGTCTTGCGGATGAGGACGTCGGCGATCTGGCACATCTCGATGCTGATGAAGAAGACGGTGTAGCAGGTGTACTGCTGGTAGCGGCGCTGCTCGAAGGTCTGCGGGTGACGTATAGGTCAACACGGGGTGGGGGGGGACCTATAGGGACCTACGGGGTCTACAGGGGGCCGGACGGACCCACTGCTGGCCGTAGCTGTCCTGCAGCTCCTGCTCGTGGGTGTCCTCCCAGCGCGGGCGCAAGCCCAAGCAGAGGAGGGGCCACCAACCCTCCTGCGCCATCGCCACGAAGTAGTCGGTGAAGCCGGCGAAGGATTGGATGGCACCTACGGAGGGGGAAGGGCGAGGTGGGGACCCATGTGTCCAGGCACCCACGGACCCACGTGTCTGGGTGGCCAAGGGCCCAGGAACCCTGGTGTCCAGGTGGCCAAGGACCTAGGGACCCACATGTCCAGGCACCCAAGAACCCTGATGTTCAGGTGGCCATGGACTCAAGGACCCATGGACCAAGGCACCCAAGTGTCTGGGGACTCAGGTGGCCAAGGACCCAGGAACCTGGGCACCCACGTGGCCAAGGACCTAGGGACCCACATGTCCAGGTACCCAAGAACCCTGATGTTCAGGTGGCTATGGACTCAAGGACCCATGGACCAAGGCACCCAAGTGTCTGGGGACTCAGGTGGCCAAGGACCCAGGAACCTGGGCACCCACGTGGCCAAGGACCTAGGGACCCACATGTCCAGGTACCCAAGAACCCTGATGTTCAGGTGGCTATGGACTCAAGGACCCATGGACCAAGGCACCCAAGTGTCTGGGGACTCAGGTGGCCAAGGACCCAGGAACCTGGGCACCCACGTGGCCAAGGACCTAGGGACCCACATGTCCAGGGACCCAGATGTCCAGGTGGCCGTGGACCCGAGGACCCATGGACCACGGCACCCAGGTGTCCAGGCACCCATGGACCAAGGGCCCCAGGTATCTGGGGACCCAAACACCCCGTTGGCCAAGGACCCAACTCTCCAAGGCACCCATGGACCTGGGCATCTGGGACAGCCCTAGACCACCCCACCCCACCCAAGCTGGATCCCTAGATGTCCTCCTACATGGCCACACCCCACGCGTCTCCCTCCTCCGGTTGGATCCTGGCACCCGGAGCCCCTCCCCCACCCCCGGTTGGACCTCCGGCGCCCAGGTCCTACCAATCTGGAAGTAGGAGTAAGCCGCCAAGGGTTCGTTGACCAATCGGTCGCGTCGAGGGTTGCGGGGCTTCAGGTGCATGATGTCACTCTCCGCCCTCTCGTAGGCCAAGGAGACGGAGGGGAACTGTGGACCCGGGCACCTGGGTGAGGGACCCGGGCGGCCGGGAGGGACCCTGGTATCTGGGTGGGGGGACCCAACCCTCGGCGTGAAGGACCCAAGGGTCGTGGTGAGGAACCCAGTGGTCTTGGTGAGGGACCCAATCGTTTGGGTGAAGGACCAAGGGGTTGGGGAGGGGCTCGGGGTGGTTGGGTGGAGGACGTGGGTGTCCGGGAGGGTCTCAGACATCCGGATTGGGGACCCTGGCATCTGGGTGGGACACCCAGATGCTTGGGTGAAGAACCCCAACGTCCATACGAAGAGCCCCAACGTCCGTATGAAGACCCCAAGTTCCTGGGTGAGGAACCTCAATGACCAGTTGATGGACCTCCGTGTCTGGGCTGGAGGGGGGGACACCCAGAATGGGGACCCCGGCATCCGGGAGGGACCTCGGCGTCTGGGTGATGCCCAAGTGAAGAACCCCATGTGAAGAACCTGGGTTCCTCGGTGAGGAACCTCAACAACCAGTTCATGGACTGGTTGATGGACCCTGGTGTCTGGGCGCAGGGGCACCCAAGCATCTGGTCAGAGGGGACCCAGACACCCAAGAGGGATCCCAGCACCCATATGAGGCACCCGGCTGCCTGGATGAAGAACCCCATATGAAGAACCTAGGTTCCTGGGTGAAGAACCTCAACAACCAGTTGATGGACTGGTTGATGGACCCTGGTGTCTGGGGCACCCATGCATCTGGTCAGGGGGGACCCAGACACCCACGAGGGATCCTGGCACCCACATGAGGCACCCAGATGCCCGGATGAAGAACCCTGTATGAAGAACCCCGGTTCCTGGGTGAAGAACCTAGGTTCCTGGGTGGGGAACCTAAGTTCCTGGTTGAGGAACCTCAAAGACCAGTTGATGGACCCTGGTGTCTGGGCACAGGGGCACCCACGCATCTGGTCAGGTGGGACCCAGGCACCCACACGAGGCACCTGGATTCCTGGAAGAAGAACCCCAACGGCCTTATGAAGAACCCCGGTTCCTGGGTGAAGAACCTAGGTTCCTGGGTGAGGAACCTCAACAACCGGTTGATGGACTGGTTGATGGACCCTGGCTTCTGGGGCACCCAAACATCTGGTCAGGTGGGCCCCAGACACCCACAAGGTATCCCAGCACCCACACGACGCAGGCAGATGAAGAACCCCCAACGGCCTTATGAAGAAGCCTGGTTCCTGGGTGAGGAACCTCAATGACCGGTTGATGGACCCAAGTGGTTGGGCGTGGTGGGACCGCGGTGGCCGGGCACTCACGATGTCGGTGCAGAGCTCGATGAAGAGGATGGTGATGCACCCCAAGGGCAGGGGGACGCTGGCCGTGATGTAGATCAGGTAGGGGGTCAGCTCGGGGATGTTCTTGGTCAAGGTGTAGGCGATGGACTTCTTCAGGTTGTCGAAGATCAAGCGACCTGGGAAGGGTGGGGAGGGCGTCGCCGGGGTGGTGTCACCTCCCGTCCCCCACCCTGCGGTGGCACCAGCCCCACCTTGCTCCACGCCGGTGACGATGGAGGCGAAGTTGTCGTCCAGGAGGATCATGTCGGCCGCCTGCTTGGAGACGTCGGAGCCGGCGATGCCCATGGCCACCCCGATGTCGGCCTTCTTCAGCGCCGGGGAGTCGTTCACCCCGTCGCCCGTCACCGCCACGATGGCACCCTGGGGACAGGGGGTCAGGCACCACGGGGACGGGGACAGGGCATGGCAGCAGGGACACGAGGGACGGGGATGGGGACAGCACGAGGGACAGAAATGGGGACACCATGGGGCACAGGGACGGTGGCACTGTGGGGTACGGGGATGGGTGACACCATCAGGCACGGGGACGAGGACACCGTGGGGCACAGAGACAGCAGGGTACCTTGGGGGAGAGGGGCACCAGGGGGCACGGGGACGTGGCAGCAGGGACGCGGGGACGGGGGCACCTGGCGCTGGCAGCCCTCCACGATGATCAGCTTCTGCTGGGGGGACGTGCGGGCGAAGACGATCTCGGGGTGGTTCTTGAGGAT